TACACAGGGCGGCTCTGTTTCCACCTTAACCGTTGATTAGCATAGAATTGAAGAGAATGTAGAAAAGCTTGTGCATGAGGCCAGCTAAAATATTTATCAATGTGTGAAATTTGTTGCTAGAATTCATTATGTTAAATATGCTGAAGTATGTCTAGTAAAACTGCATTGCCTTCTTAAAACATGCCATTTTATTACATGTTCTTCAGAGTAGGAAATGATGATGCCGTGGAGAAATCAACCTCTGGTCTATTCACTTGTGTTGTATGGTCATCAATCAATTTCTGGTCTGTTCACGTTTGTTGTATGGTCAGCAATCAACTTCTGGTCTGTTCAAATGTGTTGTATTCCAAGCTAACTTGTTGGAAATTTTTAGGTGAACTACCACTAATTGTATTTCGTTTTTAAAATTGAGTCAAATGAAAAATCGATAAAGTCTAATAAAATAATATGATCTAAATGGATTTAGACTTTATTTCAGTTTCATATAGCGTGTGATATGAATATACGTAAAGTCTAGAATTAAAGATGGGCTAGTTGATGGGGTATCCAAAATATTATTATAATAGGTTAAATTCCCTCTCTAATCCAAAAAATCTTATCTCTATAAATAAGAGAATTAGGGAGTGGCATGACTTGACCTATTGGTTGTCATTATATAGAAGTTGATTAGGGAGAAGAAGACCTAAATCTCAATACTAACTATATTTGTTTTGTAAGTTTTATCATGAAATCCCTAATTATGATGGTTTTTTAAAAATTATTAAGTAATATATTGATTATGGAGATTCAAGATACGCAATATATTTATTCTATTAAATCTTGGTATCATATGTTGATCCTTAAAAATTCAAACATGACCTTCCTCCAAGTGAATGCATATCAATTCACACAGATTCCATATTCTTCATTAGCTCAAAGCCCTGGCAAGGACCACTTCTTTTTAATGTATAGGTGATTAGTTTATTCAATGACTGATGCATGAACAATGAGTCTTAGCAATTAAAGCATGTTGCTATCACACCTTGTGCTTCTTCTTCCTTTTTTTAACATGGCCGATTGGAGGGAAGTGGGGATCAAGCTCTTGCGGTAACCATGACGCAAGAAAGACTAACACGTTCAGACCTTATACTTGAGACCTTTTCCATTTCCTTTTATGATGCCTTGCACTATTTTTTGACACTGAGGTGAGGGATTTAAACCCATTTCTTGGCCATATTTTAATTACTAATGTCACATGAAAGTTTTTAATTGTATAATTAATAAAACTTTAATAAAATTAAAGTTATATTTTAATTTTTTTAATATAAATTAATTTAAAAAGTGTAATTAATACAATCTCGATCTATTTTCTCATGTTAAAAAGACCTATTATTTTTTAATTTGTCTCATTTGTGCTTTTAAAAATTAAAAGTGCATTAATTGTATATTTTAAAAGTTAATTTTTAGGCATAACACCTAAATCCACCCCTCATCAGGGAATAGCTATAGATCCACCCTAAAAAGATACAATAATAAATTACCTCTCTAAATTATAAATTCAAATAAATTATTCATTTTTAAATTTTAAAACTTGTGACGTCAACTTTCTGTTAAAAAATACCTACGTCACAAATACAATTTTAATGTTACATTTTAAAAAATAGATGATCTGTCTTGATTTATAATTTAAAAAAATGATTTATCTGTATTTTTTAAAGGGTAAATCTGTTTTTACTTCCTATTTGAGG